TGCCCAATCAAAGGTGGAGTACTTAGGACATGTGTCAATTGCAAGGGTATCGACAGACCCATCTAAGGTGGCGGCTATACTAGATTGGCCACTACCTAGGACCATGAAGCGAGAATCAACTTTGTGATTATTGGGACTTACAGGATGCTATCAAAAGTTCATTAAGGGTTACAGCTCGATTGTGTTGCCGTTGACAGAGAAATTGAAGAAGTATAACTTTCAGTGGGGGGAAGCTACAACCCGAACTTTTGAGAAGTTAAAGAATGTAATGACGAGTGTACCAATGTTGGCGTTAATGACTTCATCCAACCATTTATTGTAGAGACGGATGTTTCGGGCTATAGGTTAGGCGCAATTCTCATGCAGTGTCAACGACCCACACTTATTTCAAGTGTCAACGACCAACAATTATTTCATTTGTAGATGCTTTAGATTCAGTTTATGTTAAGAAATATAGAGGTAGATCGAAAAAGACTTGGGCATGTTATATAAAAAATAATCTTAATTTATTATAATTAAATGAAACTATGACACTCAATAAAACACAATAGAGAAAAAAAGAATTCATGTAGTTAACCCCACTTAGTGGAATAAAGGCTTGTTGTTATTGCTGACGATGAGAGCCAAACTCAAGTCAGTTTATGAGGAGAAACTTAGGGCAATTGTGTTTGTTATTCATAAATGGCGACCTTATTTGTTGGGGTGGTACTTTACAGTACACACAAATCAGTGCAACCTTAAATTTATGTTAGAACAGCGTATGATGAACATGGAACATCAGATGTGGCTATCTAAGCTAATAGGGTATAACTTTGAGATTTAGTATCATTCAGGATCAGAGAATAAGGTCGATGATACCTCATTACAAGGGATGGAGGAATCTCAATTATTGTCATTGTCATTTCCCTCAGTTTTATAATGTGAGGTCCTGAGGCAAGAAAGTGAGGTAGATGAAGAACTGAGCAAGGCCTAGTCGGTTTTAATGAATAGAAAGAACAAATATCTCGATTATTCACTGAATGCCAATGTTCACTTTACCATGGATGCTATGTATTGCCCGAAATTCAACATATACCAAAGCTAATACAGGAAATTCACAGCAGCGCTAACAAGTGACACTCGAGTCAAAACATACCAGAGGATAACATGGTCTTAAGGTGTTAAGTGTGCCAGCAGCATAAGTACATGGCGCTAGCGCTTGGGGGTTGTTAGAATCTCTAGCATTACCAAAGAAGGTATGGGAGGAGTTCACAATGGATTCGTTGAAGATTTACCTCAATCGGAAGGGAAAATCACAAAATTAATTCTCTCTCTCTCTCTCTCTTCAAGCCAATGGCCTCTCGCCCTCCTAGTTGGATTTCAAACAGCATACCGTAACTTCAATCCCCAATTCTTAATAAAATTCCTTCCAATTTCAAACAAATTCACAATTGCCCATCACATAATTTGCATATGTATTCAACCCTAATAATCCTCGCTCTGCTAGTAAAACTGAAACTTAAATAAAGGCAATGATAACAACAAATGTTACCTGCATGATGAGCCCTCTAAGAAAAATAAATTTGCTAGATCATAAGAAAAACCATCTAAAAACCTATCTAGAAAAGTCGAAAGGGAACAAAAAATATCCATTAATGGCATTAATATCACACAAGCTATTGAGCTTAGCTTTGAAGTGCTGAAGCAAAAGTATTTAAGTGATAAAAAGCACATATGACTTCGAAATTAACTCATCTTCTACAGCAAAGTTCTAGCATAGTCCTTTGCCTAACATAGAAGTGGCCATTTATAAATGTTAAAAAGGTAAGTTTAATATTTCCACATGTCCATATAGCTCAAGCAATGATAAAGAGTTAAACACAAATATGAAGCAACAAGACTAGTTATTCACACATAATGAAAAATTGGGGAAGATATTAGATGGAACAATGTCTACAATTGGGTTAAATTGGAAGTACCCTCGTGAAGAAAATGGACAATAGATCTCCGAACTAATGTGGATGCACAATTGCACAGTTAGATTTAGATCTTATTCTTTTAAGCGAACCATTTTAAAATAGCCTTTTTTAATAAAAATGTAGCACCTGTTGTTATATACATTGATTTGGATGTCAGATCAGTGTCTGTTTCATGACGTCGTAGTATTTAAAGTTAATTTATCTAAGGCTCAAACGAAATTTGTTTCACAAAACTGAATATAGGAATGATGTTAACTAGCATTTTACCCACTTTCACTTAAAAATATTCATAATTATGGAAATTCTCCTTTCTAGAGAAGTATATCTAATTATGAATAAAAAACTACACTTAAAACTTGTGGAGCATTTTAAAGTTTCACTTTCAATTCGGTATATTTTGAAATGATAAAATTACTTTTTAGGTGAGAAAAATAAAGTTAGCTAACTTAAGTCGTCTTATAACTGTGTTTCTCAACTTTCAAAGTACTCACTTACATATAGATGCACTAAAAATCAATAAAGGTTACTTTTAAGAAGAGCAAGCCACACACAAAAAAAAGGCAAAGAATTGCCTGGCCACATGGTCCCTAATGGAGCATCACCCCTGCGGATGTAAACCCTGAACCTAAGGCTTTCAAAAATTTATAGTATTGAGCATGCATAGAATCAAGTGTCTGAAATTTTTAAACCATTAACATCCCAATAACCACAAATAAATGAGAAATGTGTATAATCAAGGGAAGGGATGAAAAATAAATGAGAGAGGCATGTGCGCAAGCACACACATAGTCCGCTTCAAATTTGGTTAATTTGTCGTGATTGGGCATGCAGCACACCTACTTGCTAACTAATGAGCAACCTATAATGCATTGTACTTTTAGAGTACTCACAAGATGATAAACCATTCATTACATTGATTGCTGGTGAAGGTCTTCTCTGTTAATCTGTTCGTAGAATCAAATATAGTTGGAAAAGGCTAAGAAACACAACTTTAGTTTAAATAAATGTAATATAAGACAAATTAGCATATACAAGAGTTCCAGAGGTGCTACATATTTTTTAAAGCTTTAATCTCAATCAATTTTTTAAAACATGTTTATGGTTGCATTCATGCAATGCTTCACTCTTCAATATTAGCTTTAATTTTTTCATAGAAAATACTAAGGGTCGGGCAAATAAGATTTTCTTTAACATATAAAAGTATTCATATAGATTTCTTTCTAGCAATTGAAGTACAGTTATGCCTTAAAATAACTTTTGAAAGCTGAATAAATTTGAAGGTCTTCAAACCTTTAGGCCCTTGTTGGTTTATAGTAATTGATTGAATAAATGAAAATGGAAAGAAAACAGAAATGGTAAACAAATTGAATTGAAATTGATCACCATCGACTTGTTTTGTTCAGCACCAAATTAAGTGCTTATTTTTTCCTTGCTATGTTAAATGAGAAATAAAGTTATTAATTCATGTAAGAAGGGGGCATCAGTCATAGCAATGACTTCATTTTTCTTGGAGGTTGGAAAGGGAGTAGTTTATAGAAAAATGCATTTGTTAGCCAAAATCAGGTACCCATGAATTACATTAAAAACAAACACCTAATATGAAATTATGAAGTAAAATCTATTGCAAATTCTCTCAATTTCTTCAAACCAAACATACCCTAAAGACAAGAAGATCAACCTAAGAGATGTTCAAATTGGGTAGCAAAGACAAGAAGGTCAACCTAAGAGATGTTCAAATTGGTTGGGAACTTGAAAGATAGAAGTAATAAACACCTTATGAATATCTAGAAAGCAAGAAAAGTGTGAAATTAAACTAGCCTTGAGATATTTGGAAAGGCTAAACCGGATAACAACTACGCCAACATAAAATCCCACACGCCTTTGCATTCAGTTGCTATACCTTGAATAGTTTCATACATTCAGAGGATAATAAGAATAGATCCACAAACCAAAAGAGGACTTATTGTATGAATTAATGGCACAAAAAGCATGCACAGTGTTGAAAATAAGACAATCATCAGCATTCTTCTTCCATAAATCAACTTCACTGCAAGCTCAGAAACCACAGAGTAAATTTATTGGAAATTCTAAATTCATGGTTTTGCAGTTAACATCACATTTGCTTTAGACCAATTATAGTAAGTACATTGCTCAACAAAGTGAAATAGGATGGAAATGCCACAATAGGTATGAATAGTTAAAAACCGTTATGAGGATATTAACAGTTAAAAACTATATAGCATGAACAATGCTAAATCTAATTAAATTGTGATATACTATCTGACAATTATTTTAGGATATAGGATCCAAAAGATTATGAGAGATAAACAAAAAAGAACACCAAGAGATACAAATAAGCATGGTTTGATTATGTAGTCAAATTAGTTATTTCATATTTTTATAAATTATGTTCATTTCTAGTGCATTAAATGTGAAAAGAACTTGTTCAACATACTCATCTCTCTCTATCAAACAAATTAAGCATCACAGATCCGTGCTCTGGTCAGAACTCAAAGCTGATAAACTCCTATCTCCTCCTTCTATTCCCCCTCACATCCCACAGTTGTTGCTAGCTAAGGTGAAGAAGGCACTGGATGATGAACTACTGATATTTTTGAGGTTAACCTAGCCTAAATCATAGACTGCACCAGTGAATTAGGAAAAATCATACCGCCCCCCATGATAGTAACAGAAATACTTTCAAATTCCCAAACGACATTGTCAAGTGCCAATCTTTTCAAAAACAACATTAAATTCCTTCACAGAGGAGCACCACGATCCAATGAATTAAAAAATAAACGCCTAATTAGACTATAAAAGATAAAGAAAGAAAATTACATACGAGACCTAATCACCTTATCCCACGACAATAAAAAAGAAACGAATGCAGCCAGGCACAAACAAGCTGAGGATAGAAAGATGTTAAGCAGACAAATGGCGCAATAAACGAACAGTAACATTCAGATCACAGGGACTAACGACGGAAAAAGTAAGAAGTGAGCAGATCCGAAAAAAAAGAACTTGGCTAGATCCGCAGCTCACCTTTTTCCTGCGGACAACCCCGAAGCATCCAAGGATCCCCGAGTAAGCTTGAGGACCTTCATGTATCAGAGAAATAGTGAAGTCGCCATGGGTTAGTAAACGAGGGCCTCTGAGCGAGTTGTAGCCGAGGGAGATGAGGGTGGAGGTCGGAAGCCGGAGGGAGATGACTAATTGCATAGTAATCAGAATCAAAGACTCATTAGCTTAATTTTAATGCACATGATGACCTACGGCGTTGAAACCAACATCGCGCGCTTGGCTCACCAAATTATTCAGCCCGGAAGTCCCAGAGTAATCGGACGGTCATCAGTGGTTGGACTTGCACATATGGCCAATGATTGGCAGCCATATTGCCCGATGTGTACGGCGATGTGGTCGTTGGTGATTAGCCGTCCGAAGGTGCGATGCTCGGATGAATATTTCTCCCTTTTAGCAGAGAAATATTTCTTTTAAATCCACCAATAATTAGAATAGATATACAGTTTAAAGTAATATTTGAGTTTATACTTTTGTTCAATTGCTAGAAGGTTGGCCTTTCATTGATCTAGTCTTTTTTAGCTATGGCTTTGGTACAAAGGGATGCCAATGGGCTTAGAGTGGATGGGACCTATGGAATGGCTAAATTAACGCCTATGATGAATGCGAAGAATTTGAATCGTAAGCATTTGGGATTGAGTTTATTGGCTTGGGTTAAACTCAAGTGAGCTTGTATTAGGGTTCACGTCGATCGAGCCCCTTAAGAGTTGGCCATTAATGTTTGCCAAAGAAGTTACTTTAGCCCAATTAATCACATTAAATAAATATGAATTTCTTGGAATTACATGCACTAGAATCAATAAAAGTTGGTCATAATTTATATCCCCATGGTCAATTAGAGTTAGATCATAGAACCTTGATTTTTGTTTATGTTAAGGGTGTTAGGTTTATTTGGCTAACTAGGATAAATTTAATTTAACAAAGGTTTATAAATTTAAATAATGAGTTCAAATAGTCCTTCTAGGTCTATTGTGTGTAATAAAGGTGTAGGGATAATTAGCTTAGTTTGTGTTTAGGTTAACTTTCTATATTAAATCAAGGGAAGTGAGGTCCAAGTTGGGTCAATGTAGGGCAGATTTGGGTTACATTGGTCCTATATTCTAGTGTCAGGTTCTCATGGGTATAAGATAATCTATGGTAGTCCATTCATAAGAATAAACTTACTAGACCTTAATAAGGTCAAAGTAATATAAATTCAAAGTAGAAATGATTTGGGCCAGCGTTGGTTAGCTTTGGTACAATAAATGACATAAGGTATGTTAAAGACAAGTCTGCTCTATTTATGTTTAATTGATTAATTGGATACAATTAAAGCTCAAATCGGTTAAAGTCAGATAAATATGTCATTAACACCTCTTTTGATCAATCTTAGCAAAAAAAATTATTATTAATCCCATTATCAAATTAAAATATTCTATTAACTAAGAGTGCATAATAGTTTTTTGTTCTTTTTAAAAACTCAGAGTCACCAGCTTGTCCATTTATATATCGTCATATGATTCTTCTTTCCAAATAAATCTTCTGCTCGGATCATATAGAAATGATATAAAAAGAAAAGTAATCAGAAAATACAGGATATACAATGAAAATAGACAAACAAATTAAAAAAAAAACTCGGAGGGCTTATATTTGACAATCCTCATATGTTAAGTCAAGAGTATACTTATGAATAAGATCTGATTGAAATACCTCGAAGTACGATACCCACGAACAAAATTCCTACATAAGCCACCCATAACCAGGAAACTAAAAGGAAAATTTTTGTCATGGGGTGAAGAGCACTCCCAAAAAAACTTATTCCTTTGGTTAATTACAACTTAGAGAATACCCAATGCTCTTGATAAAAGGGGTCATAATTATATTATCATGAGCGGTAAATTAGTCACCAAAAGAATTGTTATTTCAATTGGGAACATCTTGATGCATTCAAAGCTCTCGTTATGTCACAATATAAAGAGTAAATCTCTTACATCTCAATTGGATAGCGGCTCATCGACATACGTGGTCTATGAAATAACTGAGTTGACTCATAGGATCTGCAATATGCTTCCAGGGCCTAACTGACGCATGGGGTAGAGGGTGAATCACTATATCCCAAATGGGCGCCGCCATATTCACAATCAGGACCTATGAGACGACATCAATGAAATCATAAAAGAACATGACTCAAAAGAGTTCAAAAAAAGGATAGGAAGAGTAATCCTAATCGGATAGAGATAATCGAGTTAGGATACCACATATATGTCATCCAAAGATATTAGAACTCTAAGTATACATGATCGTGAAGGTAGTCGACTCAACACAACCAGAGAATTCTTGTTTGCAATCTGTAAATTACATCATCTAAGGAGACCTCGGTAGCCCTAAGGTCAAAAGAAATAAATTATAAATCCTATGACCCTATAAAGGTAGAGCTCACAGAGGCGAGACATATACTCACCAAAAAAATGACAAAGATGTTTCTGGAAAGAAGAAAAAAAAGAGGTCCAAATACAAAGCTGAAAAACGTTCCCACAAAGAACTTATACCCCTTCTAGGTTGGGGAAGCCTCTAGCAGCCTAAGCATGTTAAAAAAACACCAAAGTAAAAATCTATATTGGGCCAGTCAGGTTGAAAAAACACAGAGACTTCTCATCGGGACATGCAATATAATGCAAATTTCTGAAGTTATAAGCATGAAGGTGATAATAATATGATTTGGGTGATTGTTATGCATGTAAATCATTTTAAAACCAGCCTGAGGTCATACAAAAAAGTAAAGTGTAGGTTTTAAATAATTGAAATTTTTTAATCATGAATTTTGATTTTATCTTAATCTTTTATTAGAATTTTGAAAAAAGATTATTTTAGGTCCTTAAAGAGCCTAAATTATATTTTGCAAGATTCCTAAACAATCCACAATCAAAGAAAGAGAAAACGGGCAACACACTGTGCAAAGTAAACAAGCCAAACATATAAATAATAATAAAGGTTGGATGTAGCTGGGTCGATATCATATCCTAGAAAAGCAAAAGTTTGTGGTCAAACTCTGAATATAAACACCTGAACCTAGATCTGTGCACAGTGCAGGGGTAAAATCTAAGTGTATGAATTTAACAGGGTTCCATCCTAAAAATCCAATAGATCTAATATGACATTAGGGGATGGCATTTTAAAAAAAACACATCACATATGATCTAACATATATATTTTTAAAAGCGGGGTGGATAATACATAATAGAAAAATGTCTGTTTTATACTTTAAAATACAGGACCATTAAATACGGGTATATAACATGCAAGTTATGTACTTTAGAGTCATTAAAGCCTTAGTACAATCGTAGACAAGTTGGCCTAATACGAAAACTCACATTGCTCGTTGTGTCATCCTTGCCAGAAATGCTCGTTTAGGTGTTATAACTAACAAACGGATCACTCATCTAACAAATTAACTTGTCATTTAAATTAAGTGATGTGCATATAATATACAAATATGAGATAGCATGTTACAGTCGCCAATATGGATGCTCCAAAGGTGTGAACATTTGCATTGTACCCCAATGAGTGGTTTAGCACACTACGGTTGCTCAAAAAAACTTATGTATATTCCTAAATAATTGAGCATAATGTGGATGTCCCAGTAGGTATGAACATCCACATTGTGCTCTTAGAGTGGTTTAGCACGCTATGGTCTCTCAAGCAAACATATGTAGCGTACTAAACCATACCTAAGTCCAAATACTAGAACACATGACTTGCAGGCTCGATGTGCTTGTACCAAATGTGATATTCACATGAAAGAGATAAACAAGGTGTGTTCTATGGATGGACATGCTTGTAACAATTGCCACTGTAGTATACCAATGCACCTGTTGAGACTAAATATTGAGATTTGGTAAGTCTGGCATATTTATTTTGTGTTTAATTATTTTCATGTAGTTTTTTAAATTAATTTGATGCTTAATTTACTCCTCAATTTTTTAATAGTTTGTTTCATGTCCAGTTTATAAAATGACTTCACCATATTGTATAGCATGTTTGATTATATTTTAAGCATATTTTACCTATTGTATGGGCATCATAAGTAAGTAAAAGAAATGTTTCTTGTTGAATTTGTCTTCTTTAAGGATTTCGTACTACACTATATAAATGGCTTTTTGGAACTATCTGGTGTTCGTTTTGTAAACAGCTTTCACCGGTGTGTTCTAGTCATACTTTTCTATTTATTTACTATTTTTTTGTATAACTTTTGGAGTCTTATTAATAGATTTGTGTAAAAGCTTTATATATCATTATCATAAATTCTAAAACTATCTTTCTATCCTTTTCTCTAAAATTTAACCAAAAAAACGTTTTTTCTCATAATTATGAAGACCCTTTACAGGCTCTACTTTTCATGCTTTCGTTCCCACGTTTTTTTTTTTATTTCCCGTTAATAGAAACGTTTTAGAGAGAGGAAGAGAGAATTTTAGCGAGAGAAAGCTCGATTCGAGGGCTTTAGACCTGATTTTCTCTGTTGGGATATTATCCGGCACTAGGTAGGCTACTGTTAACCTACTTCAGATTTTAATTTACTTACTCTTTCGTAAAATTTTGATATTTTATTTGTCGAAATTTCTTAAAAATTCAAATCTATGGAGATCTACAAATTTTTCACCTCACAAATATTTATATGTGTAGATTAGACTATGCTAGACACATCGACATAAGAATATTTATTTTTCGACAGGTATTTTGTGTTGTGCAATATTTTGTATATTTTGGCACTTGTGTTAAACCTAATAGAAATGCTTTAAATAATATTTTGGGCATTTCATATAAGCGGTTTTGCAAATTTTGATTTCTGATATATGCTGATTTATTCCCCCCGTAAATTACATTATTACTTCTGTCTACTAATATGCATCACTATCTATAACATGTTGTGAAATTTTATATGTCAAAATTGTTAACATTTATATGCTTTTATTTCAAAAAAATGTGTCAAAAATGATAAAAATAGAAGAGTTGCAGATGATTATAATTTAATGGTTGTATGTTATGTACAATCAAGTAGAGTTATAACGGTTTTGCACCTATGTAATCATCCATATATGTGATTGATATGCCTAAACAAATGTGAACAAGTGAATATATAAGTAGAAGAGAAGTTATAAGGGGCATAGAAGAAATATGAACAAGTTGAGGTATATGTGGAAGTGGAGGTAT